AAATCATTCTTTAGATGCAATGGCTTAATTATCTTTTTTTTCCATCAACTATGCATATAAGTGCCTGTTTTTCTATATTCCTACCAATCTCTTTAAATATGCTACCAAATACTTTTTTTTTCTAATATCATATGTGAGAAATAGTATTTCAAAATAGTTATAATTTGCATTTATACTATTATGTATAAAATTGAGCATATTTTTATGTATTTAATGGCCATTTTTTTCTCCTTATGGGAATTACCTGTTTATAGTTTTTACTTATTTTTCTACTATGTTGTTGGTCTGCCCTTCTGAATTATTAGAATTTATTTATTCAGTATATATTACATACTTTGTGATATAATGTGTGTTTTTGTATTTTTTATTTGTATTTTTTTTTGTTAATGGCATTTTTCATTGCTGATAAGAAGTTTTTTCTTATACACTGGAATACATCTGTATTTACTTTTGTGCTTGTATAATAACACTATTTTCACATTTACATTTCTGACCAATTTGGAATTTATATTACTAGATTAAATAATATATAGATCCAATGTTTTTCTTGATGAAGTAGTTATACGGTCATCCAAATATTTACTTTTAAAGTTCATCTTTCTCCCATTGATTTGATATGCCCCATTCTAAGTCTGCCTCTGACTCTCTCTATTTCTATCAATATATCCATATATGTCATATATACATGAACACACACAGCTAGCCTGCTTTTGAACTCTCTATATTCCATTTTCTGTCTGTTAATACCAATATACTATATTGCCTTAATTATAGATTATTCATATCGTTTTATTACCTGGTAGGGTTAACAACCCTCTAACACTCCTTTCCCTCTGCACTTACATTGTGCTTCTGTATTTTTTACATCCTTCCTTATTTATTCTCATATGTATTTTATAATGAACATTTTTAGCTCTTTAATATTTTAGTATTTTTATTAGGATCTCATTACATTCATAAATTAAATTGAAAATTTTTATTAAAATAAAAATCACATAATGTAAAACTTACCAGGTTAACCAGATTTGTGTACAGTATTGTAATGTTAACTATATGCAGATTGATGTGTTACAGATCTCTAGAACTTGTTCATTTTGCAAAACTGAATGTCAATATCCACTGAGCAACAACTCCACTTTCCATGTTCCCCTAGTCCCTGGCAACCGCTATTTTACTTTCTGAATCTAAGTGTTTGACTACTTTAGATACCTCATATAAGTGGAATCATGCAATATTTGTCTGAATTTAAAATTTTATGATGTTAAGACTATCTGACCAACAATATGGTAAGTCTTTTTATTTGTTCAAGCTCTCCTTTTCCATCTTTCATGTGTGTTTTATGGTTTCCTCATAAAAGTTTTGAACATAACTCAATTTTTCAAAAGACATTTTATTTTGCTGCTAGTATAAAGAAATTACCTTCCATTACTAGTATTCTGAGTGTTTTATCATAAAAGAATGCTGAATTTTGTCAGATGTATTTTTTTTGCATCAATTGAGGTTATTATATTTTTCCTTTATTTTATAAATGCATTGAAATACATTGATTATCATACGTTGAAGTACCCTTGCATTCCTGGGTAAATTTCATTAGTTCATGATAAATAATCATCTTAATATACTATTGGATTATGTTTGCTGGTATTTTGTTGACTTTTATATCTGCATTAACTGGAAATGATTGGGCTGTAATTTTCATGAAGAATGTTTCTGGCTTTGCTATAAAGGTAATGCTATCCGTACATAATGAGTTAGGGTGTTTTTTTTTTTTTTAAGTGAAATTCTATACATTAGACAAATGAAATTTCAAACATTAGCCAAATAAAGTGTGTAAGAATTAGGGGCAGGGGAGTGGGAAGCCCTTGTCACTATTTCTTTCCTTCTTTTTTTTCCCATTTATTTACTATATTGCATTTTAGGTTTTGGGGTACATGTGAAGAACATGCAAAATTGTTGCATAGGTACACACGTGGCAGTGTGATTTGCTGCCTTCCTCCCCATCACCTACATCTAGCATTTCTCCCCTTGTTATCTCTCTCCAGCTCCCCACCCCCCATTGTCCCTCCCCTATTTCCCCCCAACTGACACCAGTGTGTAGTGCTCCCCTCCCTGTGTCCATGTGTTCTCATTGTTCAACACCCGCCTATCAGTGAGAACATGCGGTGTTTGATCTTCTGCTGTTCTGTCAGTTTGCATCCATGTCCCTACAAAGGACCCAAACTCATCGTTTTTGATGGCTGCATAATAATCCATGGTGTATATGTGCCACATTTTCCCTATCCAGTCTATCGTCGATGGGAATTTGGGTTGGTTCCAGGTCTTTGCTATTGTAAACAGTGCTGCAATGAACATTCGTGTGCACGTGTCCTTATAGTAGAACGATTTGTAATCCTTTTGATATATACCCAGTAATGGGATTGCTGGCTCAAATGGAATTTCTATTTCTAGGTCCTTGAGGAATTGCCACACTGTCTTCCACAATGGTTGAACTAATTTACACTCCCACCAACAGTGTAAAAGTGTTCCTATTTCTCAATATCCTCTCCAGCATCTGTTGTCTCCAGATTTTTTAATGATCACCATTCTAACTGGCGTGAGATGGTATCTCAATGTTGTTTTGATTTGCATTTCTCTGATGACCAGTGATGATGAGCATTTTTTCATATGTTTGTTGGCCTCATGTATGTCTTCTTTTATAAAGTGTCTGTTCATATCCTTTGCCCACTTTTGAATGGGCTTGTTAGTTTTTTTCTTGTAAATCTGTTTTAGTTCTTTGTAAATTCTGGATATCAGCCCTTTGTCAGATGGGTAAACTGCAAAAAT